TATTCACACAATATTAAACTTAATTAGACCTTCATCTAACAAAGTAAAGTCGCTCGTGCACAAAAAAGCTTTTTGGCCGTGACCCAGAATACAAACCTCCATTAATAATAAATAAAATCAGGCAAAAAAAGCGCGCCGATCCAAACCTGAACTTCATTTCATATCGATCAAAACATTTAAATGTCATCTTCAATTTAAGGATTATATTATTCTAAAACCCTGGTTTTCGCATTGGATATCAGACAGCCAGGCACACTTAAAAACGTCAAAAAACTCGGGCGAGACATTCGACCATTATTGTGCGCATTTGTCAAGCAACCCAAAACAATAAACATACAACAGACATTGAGCAAAAATAAAAGAAAGTAATCTAGATAATAGAACGTGACACTTGACGTAATGTTACGTAATTCGTAACACAATTCGTTGAAAGAAACTTTTTGTTAGAACTCGAACAGTACTTATCGTTTTTTTTTTTGTCCTACTTACAGCGTTTCGTGTTAATAACGCGCCACCTTAATGAAAATAATGCGGTTACAAAAAAATCTCTGAAAGAGCTTTATTTTACAATCAAAAGCAAAGCTCCACGGTAAAACGGGTTAATGCAGACACAAGGATATCGAGGATTACGTGTTGCCCCGTCAATTTACACAGTGTACTAGACTCACTCATTCATGGTTCAACTAGGAAAATTCAGACGTTAGAGTTGTCGACGTGACAGCATCAGGATTTTAGTGTGAGTGTAGGGAAAAAATTGATTTTCGCCGTCCGCTTCCGTATTAAATTTGTGATGGAGTAGTCTCCATAAATCCGGAATAACTTCGTGCTTATACATGAGATTCTGATATTTGGCATGGAATCAGCCAATGGTGAGCCGAGTCGAGGGGCGCGATCGTCTTATGTTATGTTATATATGTCGTCCCATTTCATCCAGCCTGTGTCAGCCAAGTTCTCTACTAGCGGTGACGATTTAACACCTACTTCAATATTAAGAACTGCCGGCAATGCGATCGAATGAGATTTAACATCTTGTACTTGGCAAAAATATTGACCTAGTTTTTCACGAGCGGTGCATACTCATTTGGATCCAGAAAAAGACGATTCAAAATTAAGTTGTTAGTATTTCCCAGTTCCAAATGACTTGGAGCTAATAATTTAGTTTCTTACATCCATCTGTACAGGGTTGCTAAAAAGTATGGAAGCAGTTGAATATCTCGAGAACGGTTAATTGGATCTTCTTGAAATTTGGACTATGCTTAAAAATACTCAAGCTACATTTTCTGTATTTTTTTTAAACTTTAAACTTCATTTGTTTTCAAGATACAAGACTAACTTGATTTTTTTTAAATATCCCCATTGGTAGGCTTTGACGACAGACGTCGAAGTAATATTAAAGTAGCAGCGTTTGTTTATGAAAGTCGTCCCAATCGAGAACAAGTTTTTAAGTCTACTGTTTTGAAAACATTGCGCAGATGTAACGAAACTGGTAATGGTAGAAATCTTCAAAGAACCGGAAGACCAAGAAATGTTACAAATGGCGAGAACTCTTTTAATACCATGCTAGATGTAACTGAAAATCCTAAAATTTCAAGGGAGCAATTGGCATTAAACCACAATACGAGTAGAAGCTTGGTTCAAAAAATACGCAAAAATATCATCCATAAAAAATTCATTTACTACAAGAATTCAGTGAAGATTACTTTGACTGCAGAATCGAATTTTGCGAAATAATGGCAGACAAACTAGATCAGGATAGCAACTTCATTAACTAATCATTACTTTCTGATGAGTCTAGTTTAAATACGATAGGTTTGTCAGTGCCTTCTTCATTGACGGAAATTTAACGTCTGACAAATACTATTATTCCTCGAATTACACAAATATTTCCTAACTATGAAAACCCAAATTTACCTGCAGAGTCCATCTGGTTCCAACAAGATGGAGCACCACCTCACTTCGGACATCAAGTATGGCATTACTAGAATGAAACTGTTCCTAGAGGTAGATAGGATAAAGGAGAGCAGTTGAGCGGCCAGCTAGGTCACCCGATTTAACCCCGACTTGACTTTTTTTGTGGGGTTATGTAAAAAATCCAGTTTATTTTAATAAACCATAAAGCACTCAAGAACTCGAAGAAAGAATATTAAATGTGACTACTGATATTTCTCCTATTATTCTAACAGGTTCATTTGAAAACTTTGTGCAACGTATTTACTATTGCCAGGAAGTAAATGGAGAACATTTCGAACAGTTGTTGTAAAATTATTATTTTTTAAACGTTAATTTTGTCTTTTTTCAATACTGTAATTTTTATCTAAATTTTTCAAAAAACTTTCATAACAATGGATTCATTATTTACAATCATTAAATCGGAGTGGTGTTATTTTTAGAATATTTTCTAAATTATTTAGAAACAGCATTTAAATCAATCTGTGACGGTGGCACCTTGATTTCAGATTATGTACCCTCAGTTCTACTTTTAGAATGAATGGCCACTAGTATAATTTTTGAATAAAATGTCCTACGCCAAGAATATGACAGGTGATTTTACCATGTTGGGAAAAAATAAAATAATGCATGCGTTACATTTCTGAATTCAGAAAAAAATGCACTATTTAAAAAAATTAAGTTACTCCTGCATCTCAAAAACAAATGAAGTATACAATTTGAAAACATTGCAGAAAATAGAACTGCTTGGGACAACCCAAATTTCAAAAAGATTCAACAAACCGTTGTCGCGATATTCAACTGCTTACATACTTTTTAGCGACCTTGTAGGTATATACAGAAATTAGAAATTTAGAAATTGCAACATGGAGCTACCTGGTTCAATTTTTAAAAAAGAATTTGAAAATCAAGATTCCTATCACTGTAGAAACTCAGAATTAGGTATTATGAGCTTTATCAATTTTGAAAAAATAAAAACAGGTTACCTTTCAAAGAGGAAGAGATGCACCAAATTATAAAAGAAACAAAAATCATAAAATATTTAACGGAGAAACACCTAACGACTGGAGAAAAAATCGCAATAGACTGGCTAAAAAAGAAAAAGAAGCAAATAGTTAGTGTAACGTTTCAAGAGGTTTCACGGACGCCTCGTAAAACAATCTGTTTACTTTCTGTGAATAATTCGTCTATGCCTTTATTAAAAACAGTTCGAGTTTCGAAAATGGTCCCAGTGTAATCTACTGCTTCGATTATTCGAACCAAGGATCTCGTCCCGAATAGCCTTGTCAATTTTTAGATTTTTACTCATCATTTCAAGCGTATTTTACCACAAACTGCCTACCAGTGAAAAAAAAGGTAAGTTTATCTTCTGCATACGAAACGAAAACTTGTTCCTGAATGTAAAGATGAAACATAAAACAAGAAAAACCCGTTCGGTTTGCAGCCTTAGGTGCCGCCACTGGAGGCGGAAGGACGCATCAGCCGGAAAGGAAAACAACGCGTCCCGACGCATTTGTCTGCCTCCGTCAGCCACCTATGTCAACATCGTCTTTCCGCATATGTAAAAAATGATGTTCCCGAAAGGTTAAACTCGCTCAATTTGCTCAGTTTGACATCATAACCATTGAGTTTTCGATGTTTAATTAATGATGGAGTTGTCAGCGATGAACACGCTATATAATTATATTTGGACGTGGGCCAACTGTTCCTCTTGATCGACAGTTGCCATCAAATTTATTGGGAGGATCGTCGATTTATGTTGGCGATCGTTTAATGCTAATTGTAGTCATTTAGAAATTTATGTCGGCCTTCCCCCGGTTAATGGGTGACGATATTGCTACAAAAAGAACAAAACTTAACAAGGGTTTAATGACTGAAATGCGTGCTCTATTTCAAATTGCTATCGACGAGTCTTCGTGCAAAAAGTTTATTCCTTCCGTTTGTGACATAACCGTAAAACAAACCGTAACTAAACCATCATTAACGTAAGTAGACATTAGTCCTACGACTCGGCCATAAATGGTAAATTATCGATATTTCGCTGGACCATACATCATTTTCGTTGAATGCGGATACCACACACTTCATCAATTAAATTCCAGCCATCGCGAACGATAAATCATGGCAATAATTGTACCGACTTGACAATTAGACAAATAAAACGGATAATTGCGACGAACATCTTGTCAAAAGCGAGTTAATTTCACCAACAATCGCTGTCTCGGGGTTGAGATCTTGGTCTTTGTGCTAAAGGGTGAAAGCTATGCTTAGGAAGGGCTATTAATACTGATTACCTTGATACAAGCTGATACATGCATTGTGGTATGATGGATCGCTGAGTAAAAGAAGAGGCAAAATGAAGCCGCGAGCCTAAATATCACACCTTAATCAACCCCTTATGATGGTTTATGAGCGCTCAAGTGAAAAACGTAGATTAGAAATAGTGAGAATGTGGCTCGAGCTAAAAAATAAAGGCCTGTAAGTTACTGAAATCTGCGTTAGAAGCGGGCCTACAATCACAAATACCCTGGTAATTTTTTATCAAAATCCCCTCTTTATAGGCATTCAACTAACGGTTTGCTAACTAATTAAAAATGCGCCTGCTTTATACTTTTTTTATTTCGAAAACTATTTCAACAACCGTGAGGAACAACAAAACACAAAATGGTAAAAATTAAAAAATACTGTCACCAGCTTTTGTTTTGTTTTCCGTATGTCATTTACGAAATGTATTTTGACATCTGTAATTCGTTTATCACATAAAGTTTATTCTTTTTTTAAAACAATTGTCAGTGTCAAAATTCCTTCAAAGACCAGACTGTACCACCCTAAAACCTTTCGTTTTGGAACAACTGTATCGTAAAATCTCTCTAGATAAGGTTTGTGGTTATGTCGGTCAATGCATCGGTCAATGTCAGTGTCAGAAAAGTTTCACAGATCTAAACACATTTTATACCAAAGGACAATACTAAAAAACGATAATGATACGTTAAAATGCAATTGAACATAATACAGCTAACAGGAAAATGGAAATTTATTTAATGCGTAACAGTTTATTCAGTTTCAGAATCAGATTCAAAATGTTCAGACCCCCAATCATCTTCCGAATCAGATTCTGCGGAAAGCTGAATTATTATTGGAGGAATGTCGTCAATTGGTAGATTTCCCATCAATTTCTTCCAATCCTCTCTAATCAGTTCCTCGCAGTGACGAACACTATTCGCCCACATATCAGGGGTAAAATTTTCAAGTGCTGTTGACCACATTTGCCTTGTCTTTTCCAGTTTAGGACCAGAAGCTGATGGTATGTGCTTGTTATAGTACGTCTTTATGAATCCCCAAGCTAATTCTATAGGGTTGTATTGGCAATTGTACGGTGGTAAACGAAGAACAATGTGGCCTTTATTGTGAATTAAATCATCAACTGCATAAGTTTTTTCAATGTATTGTTTTTTGTCGCGAATAATGGCCCATAAATCTGACTTCAGGGAATCAGGTGGATAAGGTATATTGTTCTCTTGAAGCCACTGGGTCATATCTCCTTTTTTTGTGGATGCCACAGGTAATTTTCTTAGTTGCTCAGAATGGTACGGAGCATTGTCAAGGACTATTATGCAAGTTTTATCAAGACTATTCAATGCTGGAAGTAACTGTTTTTCTATCCACTCAGTAAATATTTTCGCGTTCATGTTTTTATGATAGTCTCTATGTTCTGTATCTGAACCTAGCATTAGGTCACAATCTTTTAAAAAACCCCTTGCAGTTCCTACATGGAGAATAGTGAATCTTCTACCCTCCCCTTTTAATCTTTGAGGAACGCCTAATGGATCAGATTCGTTTACCCACGTTTTTACTGGACTTCCATTTTCATAAATCCATGTCTCGTCCAAAAAGACAAATATGTAGTTATCAGATTGTAGATATTGTAAATACTTTCTTAAAAATTTAATTCTCTTTGCAATTATGTGCGGTTGTTCAATTAAAATTTTTCTGTTGTTGAATTTTTTCCATTTATATCCCATTGATTTAATAATTTTGTATAATTTAGACCTACTGCCAGTATAATCGCACTCGTTTTTAACAAACTGAAGAAGATCGTCAATGGTGAAGTGTTTTCCATTGGCATGGTATGTATGAATTTGTCTTGCCAGCTCCTCTTTTATATAATGAAATGCTGGATTAGTCTTGTAATTTATTTTATGACGGCCTTTTTTCTCCGGAATTTTTACCCAACCAACATTATCAAATTCATGGATAATTTTGAAAACGACTGTCGAGTGAACCTAAAAAAAATATTTTAAGAGGAATGTTTGGGGTTTCGTTAATGATCCTAAAAAAATACGTCAAAAATATATGCAGCTTTACTACAAATTTCTTTTTGTAGCATGGTCGGTTTCTCTGTCTGCATTTGTTTACAAAATCTAATGATAGCTTCTTTTTCTCGCTGCGTTAGGGGCCGTCCAGATCCTTGCTTTCGGGAACTCATTTTGCTTTTTATTTAAATTCGCAAGAAATTGCCGGTTCAGTCGCGCAAGCGCTTTCACGTCAAAATGGCTTACATATGACATTTTACGTTGTCAACCTAACACCATCAAAATAACTAATGGCTCATACCAACATGACAACACATTGACAATTGTTTTTAAAAAAAAATTGACTTTAGATTACTGTAATTAATTAAACGTGGACATTGCTGTACAAAAATCAAAATTATACTACAAAATTTTGACTTACGTGACGATAACCTCTGAAACCTTGAGAACCCGCTAATATACAGCGTTGGGCAGAAGTATAAAACCGATTCCATGTCAATATTGCTTTTTAAAATGAAGCACTACATGGTAGATTAAAAATTGATGTGTGATACACGTATTTATTCAATACCTTCCTTACGGCTACGAAGTAAGCCCTCTGAGTACCAATTAAAAAATGAAAGTTGGTTTGTTGTTGTGTTGTTTGCTGGACTTTAATTATTTATTTTAATGGAAAGCTCTTTTTTTTATCCGTAGACAAACTCATCGGCTGCGAATCCCATTTTAAATAACTACCGGCAAAAAAATGGCCACCCTGAAAAAGTTCTCAAAACCACTTTAAAAATTATTAATTTAAGAAGTGATCGTTATTTTACTAAATAACCATTCACTATTGTCATATGCTGGACAAATTATCAAAAAAAGAAGACATATAAAGGTAGAATTAAATTTAATTTAAAAAAATAACAGCAACAGACCAAGTACGATATATTCTTAATTAAAACAATAAAGGAGGCTGTTGTTGTAAACAGTGTTTTTCATCATTTGTTTACAAGTTTGGCCGTTAATAACGTTTTCACGCCAAAACAATGACGTTAACTCTTACAGACGTCTCTGAAATTGTCGCTATGATCGAGGATAATCCTAGTCAGCGCTATGCATATTTCAGGGTGGCCGGTTTTTTTTGCTCGTCAGTGTACAAATTGAATATACCACATAACACACTAATTAGGTTGTTTATAATGTTTGGACCATTAGTTGATAATCAAAAGACATGTTTTTATTTAATTAGACCAAAATTAGAGAAAGTCTTAGGACTTTAAATTCTAGTACGCAGTAACGTTCTTATATTACAAAAAACAAAGTTAATCTTCATTAAAAAATATGAACTACTACATAACAAAGAATTTGTGAAAAACATGTAAGCTTTTAACGATTTTAACGATTTGTTTGGGGGGCGACCGTTATAAAAAAAATACGCTTTGACAAGTACGTTGTAATGATCACGCTTCAGAGGATGAAGGAAGTACTGCCTAAGCTCTTAAAACTTTTTTGTTTCACATTCGCTGAACACATATTTAGAACCACTTATCTTTTTATTTATGTGATACATGCCAACTCAGCAGTGAATATACATTATTTGCCTAATTTGGACTCCCTCAGGGGTCAATTCTAAAACCAAATCCATTTCTCGGTTCCATTAGAGACATTAAAAACGACAAAATACACTGATGTTTTCAGTTTTATGAGGAAAGCAGCAAGCAGGATATTTTATAATAAATAAATAAACTTACTATTGCAAAAATGAAAATAAATAATATAGATATTTTTCGCAGACACTACTGTCAAATATTCATTAAAATCTTGTATTGTAAAATTAGAAATCATATAATTGATGTCATTAATTCTATTCTTAGTACACCCAACGCCATTTCGCGCCAGGCAGTGCATGAAAAAAACAATAGTTTTAGCTGTTTACAACGTTATTCTCTCCATAGTCCGGGCATGCAATATAAAGTTAAAAATAGGCAAGAATTTTAATATTCTCAATTGCCGTCGTGTGTCTTTTTCAGATTCTCCGCTCCGCCACTGGCAGCGCTCGATTTATCGCTCGCTCACTCCCGTTCTTTTCCTCCCCACGAAAAACCGAAATAAATTAGAAATTCGTTTCTGTTATGCAATAAATTGTAAAAATTAATCAAGTAGGAAAACGGGTTCTCGACAGGAATTAAAGGAAAAGAAACAAAATACTTGTACCAGTGCCAGTTTATACTCCACAGTGTAATCTGAGACTCTCCCAGTCTGACGCACAGACACGCGATAAATTAAACATAATGGTTAGAGAGGAGGCCGTGCACACTGTGTGTGTGACGTCATCCAAAGCTCCGTGTGATGAATCCCGGAATCGGGCTCCGGGCTCCGGGAACCGCTCGCAGCGCCGGAAGCGCGGTCCTCTCGACAAGTTTTAGACGCCAAGCTTTCCTAAGCGAGCCTTTCGCGCTAGAAAGTCAGGAATTTGGGGATTTTTGTCGCCAATCAACATATAGATGTCGCCGTGACGTGTTCGGATGTAATTCGCTTCGATAAAGGTGATCCATCTGGGTACTTCGAGATACTGAATTTATTACGGGAATGTTTGGAAAAGTAAGGAGATGCCTGATGTTTTAAGGGAATCGATAGCGGGATGGCTTCAAGCTCGTATGTTATCATAAAAGAGGGTAGATTTGGAAGAGATGTTTAAGGAAGGGATAAGCAAGGGAAGTAGTGATTGGAAATACATCTTGATTTGATATTGTTTGGGTAGCGAAGTTAGGGTTATGAAAGAAAACTTTAAAGGCTGATGGAGTTTGTCAAAGACGGAAAACGTGAGAGAAAACGGAGTTTTAATTGGTGGACGTGATCAAATAAGTGCACAAAGTTGTATAAAAATAAAAGTTTGTTAGTAAATGCACTGTTAATAAACTACTCTAAATGGGATTTTTACTCGAAGCGTCCTGGAAATGCACTTACTTTTCCAGCAAACAATGCATTTAATGGACAATTACGTCATATGAGTTGCCAAAAGACACAAACAGAGTCTTTTGAAGCTTTTTTTACATACGTTTGACCTAAAAATTGATGAAAAATAACGCACAAAGATATTAATTAAGTTTAGAAACTACGAGTAAGTCAAAATTAAAAAAAAAGTATTCCAGTTACTTCCTTAAACTATCGACCTTTAGATTACGATCGTGACTAATTTAAGTGTTAAAGTTCAAACTTATACAAATAACTCAAATAGAAGTAAATTTTGCTAATAATATTGGCAGTTAACTATTCTTTAAACCAGCAAACAATTTAAAAGTTTGTTCGACTTTCTTATTTTCTATTCAATTTGAAAATCCCCACAATAAAAACTTGATTTAAAGCTCGGGGTTCCACAACCTTCGGTTATCAAATTTCCCAACGGGCGACCACAGCTGTGTAGGATTTAATCTAGTTTTTTAATGGCTGTTGACGTTTATACCGCCATATAGCAGGCTAGTTCTAGTTCGAGCAAAATCTGGGCCGAAATCTCCTCGACAAACAAAGCCATTCACGACCTAATCAGGCGAAACTGTGGTAAGAGAGCCAGACCCGCCACAATCTGATCCGCCATTTAATATTTTATCTGGATGTCGCGAAAGTTCCATAGTGGAGCAACCGCAAAATAACGGACGATGTGACATACGTATTTACATGATGTACGACTTTCACAAAGTGAATAATAAACAAGGAAAAAATCTAATCCATCAACGGTTGACTGGCTGAAATGTGACAAAAGTTGGTAAGTTTCGGTGAATGATGACGGAAGCCCATGAAATCGAATAAATAAACATGAACATCACATTCGGCAATTAATTTTCTTCTTCGAAGCTGGAAGAGGTTAGTTCTCGGTTCCAAGTTCGGCGAACTTAGCCGATTAAATTATAAAGCAAAATAAAAATCCCTAAACGTTTAATACCATCTACTGAACATCTCTGTGATTTATATCGACATTTTTCATTATCTGAAAGCGAATAACTGAAGCAATCAATGGACCGAAACAAATTTATATTTGAAATTGAAATATTGAAATAATTACATTGGACCAGTAATTCCGTGATTTCCTGACCGACCATGCGGAAAATGCGATTTTAACAAATAAAAATGACTGAAAACGAGCGCTAATTAAAAAATACATTAGCTTCCCTTTAAACAACCGCCCCCGTTAAATTGGAAAAGTTTCCCAAATTATCTGTAATTGTTCATGAGTCGGATTTGTTGCGTTACGAAAATTCAATAGTAATTACTGCTCACATAGACCAAGAATGTCTGACGTACCATTTAGGGATGTTTCTAATTTAAAGAAGACTGATTTAATTTTCAACACTTGAAATTTCGTTACCAAAATTTTTAATCTCAAGCTGAAATTTCACGAACCATCAAGAACAAATTGACTGCAAGATACGCTAAATTATCCAAACGGCTCAACGGACACCTATGGGTGAAATTTTAGAACAGCTAAACCCATATATACAGGGTTAGTCACGAGAGAATTACTTCTGAAAATTATTTTTACGCAACCCAAAATACGAATACCATGTACCATTTGATACTAAACGAATTTAAAATTAAATGCTTAATCCATGATTGCTTTGAGTTTGGCAATCTCATTTTGACAATTGTGGAAAAGGAGGTTACGCGAGTGTCCATGGTGGTACCGCAGCCAGTCGGAAATCTCCTCTGGCGCCGCTAATAAATTTGTCAGTGTGCCTCACGAGAAAATTATTTCTAAAAATTCCTTTTAGGGCATTTTATTCAAAGGTTACAACACAAACTCAAACAAGTAAGTAAATAATTTAACTACTAATCTGTTGAAAATGTTGGGCATTTTGGGGGGATGCTACGGCTTTTTTGTAAATGGATGGCCTAAGAAGTCCAGAGGTTGCTGATTTGCACTTCGAAGAGGCTCTAGGTGACGCAGAGATGGCGAATTAACACATGCACATTAGCGGCGAACAACATTGGTAGAGCACTTACGGCTTCAGTATAGCCCAGATTGATCTGACTGTCTGTCGTCGATCCAATTGGGCTCTAGAGACGAGTCAACGATGAAAAAAAATGTTAAAAATTAATTAACGTCAAAGTGACACTGCCAAAGTCAAAGCAATCATGGATTAGGCATTTCATTTTAAATTTACATAATATCAAGTGATACAGGGTATTAGTATTT